AGCGGCTGCGCCTCGCCGAGAGCGTTCCCGGGGGTGCCCCGATCGTCCCGAACGGCCACCGGAGAACCGAGTTGTGACCCGAAAACCAATTTAGCATGATGCAAACCCCGAGATCTGGGCGCTGCATGTTTGTTCACGCTGGGCGTTTTTCGCCCACTTCTGGGGCGCCGGGCCCTCACAGATCGATCCGGCTCGAGACATGCAGCGGGAAGATGGGGTCTGGGGTGATGCTGTTTCCATCATACTTAGGGACCGCATCCCAGAAGTAATTTCGAGCACCCGGAAAAGTGTCGAAAGTGTGTCGAAAGAGTGTCAAAACAGCGTCGGACGAGTGTCTCTCAGGGCCCGACACGTGCAAACCCTCGAGTTTCGGTACTGTTTCGGCGCTTGAAATTCTTTCTGGTGAACAAGGCTAAAGTAGGTTGGACCGTACATGGACATTATATTCGAACCCTGTGGCCCAAGATGCCCCCCAGACCCCCCGAAATTAATATTGATGGCGTGGCGACGGGGGGGGCGTGAGTGGACAGAAATATGCGAACCCCAGAGCACCGCCTTTCCTGAGATCAACGTTGATGTCGGGGGCGCGGGGGTGATGTAGAATCTCCCTCGAATGTGCAAGGGCTCGAATATATATATATATATATATATATATATATAGGTTGTCCATGCAACCTCGGCCTCCACGTCCCCATGCACTTCCACATCATCGCCGCCCCCCTCCTGCTGCTCCCCCCCTCGTTCTTCTTCTTATTATTATTCTTATTATTATTCTTCTTATTCTTCTTCTTATTCACCTCCTCCAGCTCCTCGGCGTCGTCTTCCGCCCCCTCCCCCTGCGTCTCCTCCTCCTCATTCCTCTGCCTCGTCGTGGTCAGGGTCGTCTTCTTCAGGGTCGGCGGCACCAGCCGTAAGGCCTTCGCAAGACAGTCGGACCTAGGCTACAAGAACATACCTCAAGGACATGAGACCCTCCGCCGACCCAAAGCAAACAGAACGTCCAAACGTGGCCTCCCCCAGGATGGCACAGGAGCATCCAACAAACACGAAGAGCACTAGGGTCAGGGTCAACCCGTCTAATCAGGATGCACGGTAAGGATGCAAGGGCCTTGGTAGGCCGTGTCGACACTTTGCGAGAAGTGCGCGACCAGCAAAAGCGGCCAAGGATGGCCCGAGGGGGAAGGATGCAAGGGTACCCCTGGGAAGGTTGCCCATATAAACATGCGGGTTGACTGCAGGGCACCCTCCTCGAGCCGGCCTCGGTCTCATACCTCGGCCCGGCCGCAGGTCGCCGCCTCGGACTTACCCCCGAGCGGCGAGCGTCTCCACATCCGCGCCCTGGCGGTCTGGATTCCAGGGCGCGATCCCACGGAGGCGCGTCCGTGTGGATGATTACGTTCCGTGCGGGGCTCCCAGATCTCCGACGGTATTGTTCTGGTTAGGAGAAGAAGGAGGAGGAGGAGGCGGAGGAGGAGACGGAGGAAAATGAGGAGAAGGAGGAGGAGGACGAGGGGGGAGGGAGAAGAGAGGGAGGAGGAGGAGGAGGAGGAGGAGGAGGAGGAGGAGGAGGAGGAGGAGGAGGTGGAGTTGGCCTCTTCTGGGCGGTTTTCCTCGATTTCGGCCCCTGGGGCCCGGTATCGGGCCCCGGGGCAATCAGAAACGGACCCAGGGCGAAAAACTGGCCCCAGGGAAGGGGTCGGGGCATCCTGTGGCGGCGCATTGCAACAATCGTAGCGGCGGATGTCAACGTCAGAGAAAAAAACAAAAAAATGCACAAACATGACCTGTCGGACTTCTGCGCTGATTCATTGGAGGGGCACTGGACCCCCCTCCCTGGCGCGCGGAGCGCGCCACGAGCGGCGCCAGAGGCGCCGCCGGGGGGGCCCCAGCGTGGGTCCAAGGAATCCGCGCGGAGCACCAAAAGCTTATGATTATGTTTTTTGTTCTTCGAATCGATCGGCGATTAAGTTTATGATTATGTTTTTTTGTTTTTCGAACCGATCGGCGATTCTGTCGAGGGCGGGACGAGTTGAGTCGTGGGGGGCTCGGCTCCGCGACGGCGGTGGTTTGCCCCGATCGATCCACCAGCCGTCACCCTCAAGGACGACCCGACGATCCGATCTTGCAGGATTAAGTCGGGCGTGTCCCTCTACAGGCGTGTCCCCCCTCCCTGGCGCGCGGAGCGCGCCACGGGCGGCGCCGGAGGCGCCGCCCGGGGGCTCCCGCGGCGGTCCAAGAACTCCGGGCGGACCCCTGAAAGTTTATGTTTGCGTAGTTTTCTCTGCTTCGAAACTTGCGAGGGCGTGATCGTGCTCGCTGGTTCGCGGAGGCTTCTGGATGCTTTCCGGCAGCCGCGCCTCGCCGCGAGCATGCCAAGGGCGCCCACATCGTCCCGATCGGTCGCGGGAGACCCGAGTGGGGGCCCGAAGCCCGACCCCCGCCCGTCGTGGAAAGACTGCGACGGGAGGAGGAGGAGGAGGAGGAGGAGGAGGAGGAGGAGGAGGAGGAGCCCCGCCCATCGTAAAAAGGTTGCGACGGGAGGCTTTTCCGCAACGTCGGCTTCAGGAACGTCGGATTCAGGAGCTTCCCGGAGGCTTGCAACCCACCAGAGGTCTTCCAGCCTCTGCATGCTGTCCAGCAACTACGCCTCGCCGAGCGCGTTCCAGGTGTGCCTGGATCGTCCCGGTCGGCTGCCGGAGCCGTTAGGAGCCGAAACCCAACCACCCCAGACATACGATCTCTGATTTTTGTTCGATACGCGGTCCCCGAAATCCCGATTCCTCCTCCTCCTCCTCCTCTTTCTCCTCCTCCTCCTCCTCCTCCTCCTCCTCCTCCTCCTCCTCCTCGTCCTCCTCTCCCTGGGACCTGCTCCTCCTCCTCCTCCTCCTCCTCCTCCTCCTCCTCCTCCTCCTCCTCCTCCTCCTCCTCCTCCTCCTGTAGCCAAAGATCGGGGCGACGACCGCCGCCCCGATCTTTTGCTACAGCGCGGCCACGTCTCTGGGGCCTCTCGTCTCGGGAACAGAAAAAACGGAGGAGGAGGAGGAGGGCGAGGAGGACGGAGGAGGAGGAGGAGGGCGAGTAGGAGGAGGAGGGCGAGTAGGAGAGGAGGACGAGGAGGAGGACGAGGAGGAGGGAGGAGGAGGCGAGTAGGAGGAGGAGGACGAGGATGAGGATGACGAGGAGAGGAGGAGGAGGAGGAGGAGGAGGAGGGGAACAATAGAGGCCTCCTAGATGGGGTCGGAGTAGATGGGGTGCGAGGATCGCACCGCATCGGCGATACATCGGCGACGCATCGGCGACGTCGGCAGTACATCGGCGACGTCCGCGTGAAGAGCATCGGGTTCCGCATCGAGCCGCGTCGGCGATGCATCGGCGATGCGGCGCGATCCCCCGGCCCCATCTGCTCCGACCCCATCTCGGAGGCCTAGAAACAAATGGGCGATTTCGGAAACCCTAAACCCAAAAACGTGTTCAGCTCTTGGGGGCACATCTTTTGCTTCCACCGCCTTCCGTCGGGCGTTGGCAGAACTGGGTCTAGTGGGTCCTGGTTTAGGAATGTGGCTCTGGGGGACGCCGCCCCCCCCGCCCCGTTCCGCTGACCAGAACTGCCGTAACCCGAAAAAACACCACCTACGGCAAACCTGGTTTAGTGATTTCGGCGGTGGACAAACCTCCCTTTACTACACCTCCCCTTAGTGAAAACGGCCTGGGACCGAAACCGACGGACCTGGACCCGCAAAAATGACGGCCGCGACGCCCCCTCGCGAACCGAAAACGGCGAACTCTCCTTGATCGACGTGTCAGGGTAGGAGGTCCGCCCACCCCCGATGATTCTTTGGGCGTGGCTTAATGGGGGGGTCACAAATGGGGGGGTCAGAAAAGGTCCCCTTTCGTGCCCCTTTCGGGCCCCTCCAGAGCCCCCAGGGGGCTCGTTTAGGTACCGTTTGGGTACCTTTTCGGACCACGCTCGCCACCCCCCCGATTAATGACCCCCCTATTACGCGGCGCCCAAATTCTGGCCAGTTCAAGGGCTCCGGGGCCCTGCCCCTAACCGGGTCACCTTACTGACGACCTACCAAACCACCCCAACCCAACCCGAAGACCCGAATTTCGGGTTGGGGGGGGGTACGAGCTTCATGTGTGTTTTCTCAACGTTCCCCGACCCCCCCCACTGGAAATGGAGGGCAAATTGGGGCCTTCGGGTTGGGTTGGGGTGGTTTGGTGGGCGGTGACTTACCTGGGGCCCTGGCCATGCCCGACTCCGCCAGCCTGCCGCCACGCTTCCGCCGGCGCAGGCGGCCTCGCCTGTGCCTCCGCCGGCCTGCCCTTCCGCCCCGCGGCGCGCGGCAGGCAGCTCTCCTTCGCCCCTCGAAGGCACGGGCCTCGTCTGGAGCGCCCCAAAGGAGGACACGAGCGGAGCCTCTCGGGGTTCCGCGCCGACTTCTCGGATCGGCGCTGGAGCCCCCTGGCGGCTTCCAGATGTCTGGCGCGCTCCGCGCGCCAGGGAGGGGAGCCCAGCGCCGATCCGTTTACGTTTACAGCAAAAACGCGCACACACACACACACACACCTCTGCTTAGACGTAAGTGTTAAGCTGGGAAGTGGGGTTCCACTTCAAACGTGCCCTCAAAACAGTAGTCCAGGTCCAGATACACGAAGCTTAAACAAAAAGGAAGCTTCGAGAAAACGCCCCAAGGGTCTAGTCCGGATTATTGATTTTCTCAAGCGGAATCTGGAGTCCAGAATATTGCTGCGTTGTTAAGAGTTATGATGGATGTAATACGGATGCGCGGCAAGGACGTAAGGGCCTTGAAAGGCCATGTGATCGCTTTTCGAACGGGGCTGGCCAGCGAAAGTCGCCATGGATG